TATAAGATTGAAGTTAGTTGATCAGATTTTACACAAGTACAGAGAGGGGGAATTTTTTTCAAAGCACTTCAATTCTTAAGTACGCGCAAGAATTTCATATATACCTAACTAGTGACCATGTGCAAGTTGGAATCTGAGTGATTATGCCATAAACTTTCACTCCAGCATAATGCATAATCTACCCATAGGTGATAGTATGGTCATCTATAGAGGAATTATTTTTGAAATATTAGCTAAATATATAGGACCATTAAATGATTCGCGTAGTACATTACTCCAAAGATGTCTTAAATACTTGATCGGGAAGAATCCCATTGGAGATTATAAGAATGAAGTATTGACTTGTTCATCCACTTTTTTATTCATTTATATTGATATTTGATGAAAAACCCAAATACTACGATAAAAATCGTCCAAATATTCACCCGTCCCAAAGGTGCATTGAATGTTTTAGAGACCCCTTTTTTTTTTTTTTTTGCTGGCTGAATTGTAAAAATTTGATATGATTGTTGATAAAGTGATAAATGCTTTTATAGCAAGAATGATCGGATTTCTTAAAGAATGATGGTACCAACTGGAAATTATAGACAAATTCAACTTAAACAACCTCTCAGCCCCTGAATTATATATATATATATATATATATATATATATATATATCAGATTTTGAATTGCTTTCGAATTTCTGGATCGAACCAACTGATTCGATTCAATTTTTATAACATTGCTTTTCCAACAACAATTATACATCTAAACAGTGACAACCTTATCGTGGTTTAATCCAAAACTACTGTATTAACTTCTAAACAAACTCTTAACTTGTATTTATTGAAAAAAAATATAAAATCTTGGCGTGAAGATATGAATAAACCATTAAGTAATTAATTATATATAAATCACCAGAGATTAATTATTTGATTAATTTAATTGACTAAAGAAATTATAATTTGAAAGAGTGGAAAAGGGTGCATTTAATTAAGATCTTACAGTTGACAATTTCCAGATCTGATCCCAAAGCTCTTGGATTTCGTAGAGGACTCATATTCTGCAAGAATTGACAATTTTTTTTTCGTATCTATACAAAGTCAAAAGACCAGAATACCCTTGTATAAATTATGGCTTCCAAATTATTGTCTTCAGATTTTAGCATGAAAATTGTTATTATTTTAGGAAATAATAAGTCTTAGTTTTCCGATTTTTATTGCAACTAATAAAACAATGATTGGAGGGTCTTGAAGTACTTTCTCAACTCAACTCTCCACTTAATAAATTTGATTAACAACCAAATTATTACAACTTTGCTACGTGTACAGAATTAGATAGGTTGATGGATGCATGCATCTATCAACCTACTTGTACAAAATCATCTGTACAAGTAGATTAATCGATCAATTTATGACCACCGCCAACAATGTAATAAGTTTGACAATTAGATCTTAAATGACTCTTAACAATAAGTACTACTCCTAAGAGTGCCCTTCAACACATGTGACTACTCTCAAATCACTGTAGTTCACAATTTGAAGTAGCAGAAATGCATGAAAAAAAATAAAAAAAAATTAATACTTCAAAACTCGAATACTGGGAATTCGCAAACTATGGACAAATACTCTCAATATTTTTCCTTGCTTCTTCTAACAGTAATTAATTAGCCCCTATGAAATAACCAAAATATTGTTACAAAATAAAGATAAAAGGAAATCTATGAATCTTGGCCTTCGATCGATGCACCGTTTGAGTTCTTCAATTAACGTGCCAAACTTCTAACAAATCGTCTCTCATTTCAAATGGTCACAGGAGCCAAAAACCGGTTACGACTGCATAAATCGATGATCAATGAAGGGAGAAAGAAAGAGGAAATTTTAGGTTGCCTTAGCTACAAGTTTGAGGGACAATCTAGTGATTTCACAATGACAAGAAAATATAAAAGATCGCGCCCAACAGCACTGCTATTGTCATACACACATACAAATTATTCTAAGTAGCTAATTATGACAAATTGAGTTAATTAAGGATCAAGATTAAAGTCAAAACTTGGATGCATTCTACTTTTTGTATATATGTGACTAATTATACTTCTTTAGACAAGGAATTGACTTCGGTACCATAGAGTTTTGTATTTCAATATGAAAAAAGTAGAAGAAGAAGAATCCGGTCATGAAATGGAAATGGATCTATCCCTTAAGATGGATGCACAAGAAGAAGAAAAAACCGATGACCAGCCACCTCAATCGCAGAATAATCAAGCACAAAACAAAGAATTCCAGCCTGAAAATAAACTGAAAGAAAAATCACAAGAAATTGTAGCTGATGATGATCATAAATCCATTGAATATTACTCACTGGAGAACTTGAAGACAGAAAAGGTATAGAATTGGTTTGTGTGTATATATTATTATGTGCATGGCCTTGATTTTAAGCAATGAATAATCACTGTAAATTCTGTCAGCTGTCCATTTTACAGAAGCAGATGAATCGGATGAAGGAGGAGAATAAGATATTGAGGACTTCAATAGAACAAGCTACGAAGGATTATTATGATCTAACATTCAAAGTTGCTATGATCCACAAAAATAACCAAAAGAAGGTAACCTTCGATTTTGTGGAGCCTAATAATACTGTATAGGTACTTGTCCTTTAGGATTTTCACTCATTTTTTGATATAGGATTCCAAACTGTTAGTTTCACTTAATGGAAATGAGGAGCCAAGTGATCAAGAGCCAAGTAGAAGTCCAAAGATGTTCGATATCAAGAATCAAACGGAGTTGTCGCCATTAATACAGGAAGATGATCTGAGTGATAGTACTGAATTAGGGTTGTCGTTAACACTGAAAAGCAGTCCAAGAAAAGTAGAGAGAGAGAATGAAAAAAAGGAGAAAAGGGAAGATCGAGAGGGATTAATCACACAGATACGAGGTAAGCCACATGGGGGAAGCAATCTGCCTGGAATTACAAGCCATGTTGCATCTCCATCAAGTAGAAGATCTAGGGTTTCAGTCAGAGCCAGATGTGAAACAGCCACAGTGAGTCTCTCTCTCTCTCTCTCCCCCTCCCCCCGCCCTCCCCTCCCGCCCCAATATATATGTTTGTGTATAGATCGTTAGCATTACGATCCTAATCACGCTGCACACTTATCATGTCTCCTCTCTGGTTGAGGTTGAACCAATATAAATCTTTATGTTTACTTCGCTTGTTTTCAATTTCATTGGTATTATTGATCTCGAAAATTGGAACTGGAGTTTAATCCATGAAATAGTGTGTAATTGTGAGATCGTTTTATTGAGTTCTATAAGAAGAAAGACTTATAATTTATGAATTAACACATTTTAGATGAATGATGGATGCCAATGGAGAAAGTATGGTCAAAAGACTGCAAAAGGAAATCCTTGCCCAAGAGCATATTATCGTTGTACCGTAGCTCCTGGATGCCCTGTAAGAAAGCAGGTAACGAAAAGTTTAATATCCACACGAAAATTTTAACATTGTGACTTTTTTTGTTCAACATACTTCGAATATAATTATCCGTTTAGACGTTCAGTAACACAATTGACCACATGAAAAATTAGGTCCAAAGATGTTTGGAGGACATGTCGATACTAATCACAACGTATGAAGGAACACACAATCATCCACTCCCAGTGGGTGCAACAGCGATGGCATCAACCGCGTCAGCTGCATCAGCATCCTTTACATTACTCGATTCAAGCAACCCATTTTTAGATGGAATGACAACCTCAAACCAGACGCATTTCCCTTACCCTAATCCTTATAATAGAATTAATATCCCATCTTCTCCATACATCCCATACCTAAGAAACATGAACCCTAATGACCCTTCTAAAGGTATTGTTCTTGATCTCACAAATAATGCTTGTAACGGACAATTTCTCGGGACTAGCCCTTTGCAGTACTCTACAGGACAACCAATGGGACAGCCAGGATATTCTTGGCTGCCTAGAGCAGGCATTTATAGTGGAACTAACCAGAGTTTTCCTGGTCCTAAACTAGGAGATGGGAAGGGGCCTAACGGTGAAGGGAATAGTGATATTAATAAACATTTGAAGGAAAATATGAGTGCAATTGCTTCTGATCCTAAGTTTAGGGTTGCTGTTGCCGCCGCCATTTCCTCTGTACTTATTAATAATAAAGAAAGCCCTACAGCATGTCCTATAGATGGGGAGAGTGGGGCTAACAGCCCTAAAACTTGGGTTCTTGAATCCACAAGTGCTTCTGCTGGCAAGTCCTTGTGAAGGTTTTTTTTGCATTCACCATCCTTTCAAGGTGGAAGTTGTGGGTTCGAACCTCACTAACTGGTTTACATTCGACTCGGGTAGGACGAGGTACGTGGAATCTCATTCGAATTAGCAAGTAGATAAAATATTGTGTAACAATTATATTGTTTTGAAGCCAATATTTATACTGAACATGAATTTGTATTTTTTTTTTCTTTTAGTATTGATATTTGTTTTACTTTTTGAAAGATGGGAGGTTCCATGTGAGTCATTGACTGTTGTAGAACTCTAGGACTTGAACATTTACAAAGTTGGTTAAAAACTTTCTTTAATTAAACAAAAGGGTCTGGTGCATGCACACAAAACTGAGAATTGGTTTGGTAAGTTAGACTCCATAAAATTAGGCAAAGTTTATGATATTGATAGACATGTGATATAATTTATTAGTTGTTGTATCTAATCTTGTTGAATTAATGTACTCAACAGGACATAATGGTCTATATAAGATTTAAAGATAATAGACTTATATGTAAGTTGAGTGTGAGGATATTCAACTTGTGAATAGTTGATCCGAAAGTTCCCTTTTGAGTTCAAGATAATCAAATATAGCCCCAGTTTGGTATAGATAAAAATCAGTTCTTTAGTAGATTTTGATAAAAACTTGTGAAACGTGTGGTTGAAAAGTTGTAGTAAGGATTAAAATTAAATTTTTAATAGATTTTAATAGAACTTGATGAAATGAGTTGTTGAAAAGTTGTGAATCCTATTAAATGCGTGGTTAATGTTAATTATTGACTCTGACTTTGATTAAAATCTTGATTTTAATTTTCACCAAACATGAGCTGAATGTGTAATTAAAATTAATTGTTGAATTTGATCAAAATTTCTAGCTAAACCAAACAATGGCTTGGAGTCGTAATGAGTAATTGTAGAGAAAAAAATTTCCCTTTTGTTACATTTCTGTATCATTTTTATCTACTCGATAAATAGTGAATTTGTACACGGAAAAAGAGAGAGTGTATTTTTAATTTCTTTATATTTTTATTAATGTTTATTCCATCTTACCAAGCACGCCATTTGTGTTTTGCTCCAATTAATGCAAAAACCTAGTAATACATTAGTATAATTACAGAACTTAAAATTATACATCACAAAATTGGTTTATGATAAGTATAATTAACAATTCTTTTTCCCTTTTTCCTATATGTCACTTAAGTTTTTATACGATTGTTGAAAGATTCTTTGATAATTGAGAGTAGTTCATCAAGATCAAGTTCAGGTTAAATAAACAGTATCAAAGCCTAGGCAGGATTTTTAGGTCTCTAATTATGATACGACCCGTCCCGAATCACCCTAGTAGACCCGAAACGTGACGTGCGCCGATGATATATGTTGACCCTACAAAGTGCGCCAACAAATGTCGGTCCCACCCGCGCTTGCGTGGGCGAATGTCCAACACGCTAAAACACGTGGACGGTCTAAAACGAGCAGTTTAAAGGGGCGTGGGAGTAGCCCAACGACGCGGGACGGTGACGTTCGGAATCCGGCGAGTTGTTCGTAATCCGATTGTACAATAATTACCAACCGGTGCTCGTAAATATATATGTAAAAGTGTGTAAACTCGATTTGCGTATTGCAAGTAAATGAGGGAGAGTTGAGTAAATGTAGTCTTTAGTATTGATTCTTGCATTAGCCTTTGACATTACACAATGTGAGTATTTATAGTGATGCATATGAAATGGGAGCCCTTGGATGAAGTGGCACGTGGCCTCATCCCCTTAGTTCAAACGTCTGTTCTTAGGTATAGGACTTGACTTGCTAGTTTACGGCGCATTTATTGCTTGCGCAGGTCCTTTATACTAGTGATAAGACTTGATCTTTATGCTTGTGACAAACGTTTAATCAGTCATTCGAATAAGATCTCTGAGCATGTGATCTCTTGGGAGAAGTGATAGTGGAGGAAACTCCTTGTGGTTAGGAGGCTCGTGCATCAGCTTCGGGGTTTCGACCATTTGATAAATACCTCCACCTGAGGACCTCAGCTAAATTCAACAGGTTCCATGCTTTGGGTCATGGGGCTCGGTAGTTGGGCTTTGGCAGAGTACGTCGGATCGTGGTGCCTCGGTGGATGGACCTCGGCTCGAAGCAGTTCGGATGCAGCCCACCTCAGTAATGTGTGCCACCTTGGCAAGAACGTCACGTGGATTAAGATGAGTGGGCCATTGGCCCGGGTGGGTATGACAGGTGTGACAACACCCAACAATAGTCCCCCAAGTCCAAGTATAATCATTAATGTAATGCGAGGACTTTAATGGAGTAGAAGTTGAAAGAATTTTTAAACCCCAAATAATAGTCCCCCAAGTCCAAGTATAGATATTTATATCATGGTTGGGGTTTGAGAAGTGTTCTGCGAGGCTTGATTGCTGAATGGCGAAGAGGAAGTTGAGGTGGTTCAGGGACCGAACTTGCGAGGCTTTGATGCTGAATGGTGAGGAGAGAAGCCGAGGTGGTTGAGGAAACCGAACCTGCAAGGCTTGAATGCTGAATGGCGAGGAGGAAGTCGAGGTGGTTCAGGGACCGAACCTGCGAGGCTTGAATGCTGAATGGCGAGGAGGAAGCCGAGGTGGTTGAGGAACCAAACATGCAACGCTTGCCGAGGTCCAATGGTAATGATTGTGCGTTGGTTGCTGTGCCAATGATTTGATGTTTTGTGCTTGTTTTTGAGGAAAGGTGGCTGAACCGTTACGACTTCCAAGGCACCGCTGCCGTCGAATTAAAAATGCAATTATGAGGGCAGCTGGCGTTTCTAGAAGCAGACGCGTTGAGAGGTGCGTGGGAGGCACGCATAAATCAGAGGCGTAGGATTGAAAAACTGTTTGAATTCAACGCCTAGGATTGGATCTGAAATGGAGGGCTCGGATTGACTGAGATTTGATCTGATGGCTGGGGTTCGTCTTGGACCTTTATAAAAGGCGAGAAAATCCCAATTTTCAGGATTTTTGAACACTTTGCACTCTGAAAACTCTCTCAAATCTCCAATTTTTCGGCGTTGAGGTTGTCTATGATATTAAATTCCGACCAGTCTCCATTTGTGTCGAACTCGTTTAGGTATTGTTTGCATAAAAAAACCCTTGTTACTGTCTTTGTACTGACAAAATGGAGTCCACTTCGGGTAGGGAGCTAGTTACAGTGGCGTCTTTAGACTATGGGGTCGGTCATGGGGGGGTGTCCGAGGTGGATAAGTATGCCATGGCCGAGGAGGCTGTAGATTATACCCAGGAGTGGGGGGCTTCTAGAGTGCCCTCGAATATGACGGGGAAGAGGTTAGGGGAACTTAGGGAGAGATACAGTGTACCCCATAACATAGAAATGTTAGTGCCCGAGCCGAACGAGCGGGCCTGCTATCCGAGGCCCAATTGCGTGGCCGTGAGTGAATACCTGTTCAAGGCAGGTATGTGTCTTCCTCTGCACCTTTTCTTTAGGGTGGTGCTTAGGAAATTCATGCTGTCGTCGACCCAGGTTCTGCCAAATGGATAGAGCCAGTTGGCCGGCTCGTATTTCCTGTGGAAGGAAGTGTCACTTGGGGAGGACATGCCTCTTCATGTGTTCATGACCCTGTTCCAGCCCCGGGTAATTGGGAAGGAGTCAAGGGGGTGGTACTACCTCACGCATTGGGGGGCTCACGCACCCTTTGTGGTGGGACTTCCTTCCTCTATCAAGGGGTGGAAGGAGTCCTGGGTCTGGGTGCGAGGTAAATGGCAGGCAGTGGAGGGTGACAAAGCCCTGTCATGCACAGTGCCGACCCAGTACTACGAAGCTCGTGAGTCTCCCGACCTCTGCTTGTCTTTTGAAGTCAGAATATGAATTCGTCTAACTGTTGGAGGTTCCTTTGCAGATAGTAGTACGAGGTTCGAGCTCAGCAGGGAGGAATTCGAGGTGATAGAGGACATTTACAAGAGGCCTCTGAAG